TTCATAAAACTATTAATAGTCTAAAAATTATGCTTAACAAAGAAATCAATTTTAAAATGAGTACAAAACAAATTTATAACATTATTATAAATGAAAACAAACCAGACAAACCAATAGGAGTTATAATGTGGGAAAAATTGTTTGCCAAAAACCTATACTTTAAACTAGAAAATTGTTTTTACTTCATTTTTCACTACTTACCTGACAATAAACTGAAAATGTTTAGGTGGAAATTAATTCACTTTATTCTTCCATGCAATGATCTATTAGTAAAATGGAAAATACTCACAGATAATAAATGTAATCATTGTAGTATAAAAGAAGATTATGAACATTTTTATTTTTCTTGCAGTTACAACAGTGATTTTATATCAAAAATATTAAACCTTCTTAAATTCGTAGGTTTCAATGAAAGCATTCTTAATATGGAAAATCTTAAAGTAGGATATAACATAAACGATGAAGCTTACTATGAAATTAACTTCCTTTTGACTGTAATATTTTTTGATATCTACAAGTCATATTATATCTCTGATTCAAAGAGAACAAAAATAGATATCTTTAAAATATTCAAAGCAGAAATAAAATATATAGTTGAAGTCAATAATGTAATTAAAAGAAAAAATAGCAAATTAATTATAAAAACCCTAAACTACATAAGCAATAATAAATATCCCTGACGTCACATGACTCAAGTCTGAAGTCACATGACGTGAGCATGTCAGGTGACTATAATGTACCTTGACATAACTAACACATGTTTAATAAAAAAAATATATTATCCAATATTGTATAATACACACTTTTTGTCTTCTTCTTTCATTTATTATTTTATTTTATTTTTGACAACTTTGTGTTATATATTCTGATGTTGTGTACAATCATGTTTACCTAAGTAGTTTATATATTTTAGTCAAAACTACACAATAAACCTCAATGTTCAAATAAGTGCAAATTTTGCTTATGATTAAAGAAATCAAGAAAATTATGGTCAACTTACCTTTTAAAAAGACAACTTGTCTTAGTATTATATTCCGTCGATATTCCATTTAATTTATCCAAATCAAAGATGATGATGGCATACACGATGCACATTTAACTAATATTAAACACCATTATCGGATGGAAGTGAAATTCTCCGGTAAACATAAAATCATTTAAAATATTGAAATATTGTAATATAACATCAATTTACTTTAATTAGATATTCTCCCTGGATACCTAATAACTAATATATCAGGGATACTTAATGCAATGCTGTACACTAAGTAAATTGTTAACAGCAATACTGTGCAATAAAGTATATTAGTCACGTTAAAAAAAAAAAAAACAGTTTACTTTCTCTCATCTCTTTGTCTCATATATTGACCTTACATGTAGTTGCGAGATACTCAGGGGTAGACAGGGGTAATGCAAATTTGTAATTGTAATGCATTACATTCTCCCAAGTAATTGCATGTACGTGTGCTTTCATGTCAATCCGGCTCCAAGTCGAGCCGTTCCAAGTCGTTCTGTACCAAGTCGATCCGTCCCAAGTCGATCCGGCCCCTGATTTAAAGTCGAACCGTTCACATTGAAAAAACAAAAAATACATTTATGAGGAATAACAATAAAGATATATACGGATTATGAATTTTATAATAATGTAAAAGGTGTCCGGTAAAAAAAAGTTGACCTTCGACAAATATTTTCATAGATATATTAACTATGTTGATTATGTTTTCATCACACAAGTTTTCAAGACTTTTGGGTATTAATTTAATACTACTAATTATATAAATATATTATACTTGCCTTCGGGTTTATATGATCCGTTCATCCTATTTCGACTCTTCAAAATTCAAGAGTCTATCCTAAATTGAGGTAAATTATATGGTCCTCCTAATATCGTTTCGATTCCTTACATCACTGAAGAGACATTAATTGTCGAAATCCGGATATGGTGTACTAATTCTTGCTCCTTTTGTTTCCGGTATACCATCTTTTCCGCAAGTTCATTGTTTTCTGTTTAATATTGAATTAATGATTAAGATCCATTTTATTACATCTGGTGATCCGTTTATTTGGCAATCGCTAATGGCAGTCAGAAGGGTTTAAGAACATCCGTTGTTCGACCTGCTAGTCAAATGTGTTTTGTTGAAACATACTTTTACACTTTGTTGGTCTTTTGGAAAATGTTGTTTGTGCTGTATTTAGACCTTTCTACCAAGAAATTTGTTATGCATTCACACGTATAAAAAATTTTATCCAATGCAATCATAGGTTTGAACGTTGTTTTCAATTTAGACTTGTATTTCTTGAAGGTATATATATCGTATTTAAATCAACTGTTCTCCGTGTAAAAAAAATCATATTATGTTATTAATATTTTTACTAATGATAGAATTCAATCACATTTATCAAGGTGAAAATTTAATTATCTAATTCAACTTATCTTATTAAAAATAACAAGTGCTATAAGGTTTTCATGTATACATTGAATGTATCGTATCTTTTTGTATTACAAGTGGTAAAATATAGAATACTAAATTACATAAATATGTTAAAATTATGAAATTTAATGTGTTTTGATGCTTTATTTATATTGAGACTACAAGTAGACTCAAATGTTCATTTATTATATACTGTTTCAATCACATTAATCAAGGTGATAGTTTAATTATCTAATTAAACTAATGTTATTTAATTTAACGTTGATATGACAAGGCCGTCATGTATACTTTGAATGTACTGTATCTTTATGTGGTCTTTATATGCCTTATATGTACTACCAGTTCAGTCTTTCAATATTTCAGAGGCTATTGAAGAAGTAGAAGACATAGTTGAAAGGTAATTATTTTTTGTAGTCTTATTAATTGGTGTAAATTGAAAATAGGTTCGAAATATTTCTACACATGTACTTGAATGGCTATCGTGATAAATCCTATAACTCAGAGCTGATAATTTAAATATTCAAATAAACTCTTTGCACCTGTCCTTAGCCAAGAACCTGATGTTCAGTGGTTGTCGTTTGTTGATGTGGTTCATAAGTGTTTCTCGTTTTTCGTTTTATTTTTATATATTAGACCGTTGGTTTTCCTGTTTAAATGGTTTTACACTAGCCATTTTTGGGGCCCTTTATAGCTTGCTGTTTGGTGTGAGCCAAGCCTCCATGTTGAAGACCGTACTTTGACCTATAATGGTTTACTTTTACAAATTGTGACTTGGATAGAGAGTTGTCTTATTGACACTCATACCACATCTTCTTATATCTATTATCTGATATAAAAAGAATTATTAATATATACATTTTTGTAGTGACATAGAAGACCCAGCACTTCCCAATAACTTTGTTGGAAACAGGCCAGTGACATACCATATAGTGGAGCAAGGTAGTAAAAGAAGATTCCGGAAACTGGTTACCAGTAATGGTTTTGTATACACAGTCAAGGTAAGTAATTTATATAATTTAATTCATTGTTTAGAGCACAACATACAAAATAAAATGATGTGGTATGATTGCAAAATAAAGGCAATAGTAGTATACCGTAGTTCAAAAGTCAATTTGATTGAGAGAAAACAAATCCGGGTTACAAACTTAAACCAAGGGAATCACATAAACTATAAGTGGAAAACAAAGGAACAACAGGAACACTGAAGTGCAACAGAAACGAACGCCAACAAACATAAAAACGAACTATTTGATAACAACTGCTAAATTCCTGACTTGGTAAAGGACATTTCAAGACAAAATGGTGGGTTGAACCTGGTTTTATGGCTAGCCAAACCTCTCGCCTATATTACAATGTTAAAACATATCGTTAAAATTACAACACTACGTGACAAAAATACATCACAAACAAACGCAACAACACTCATCACAGAGAAACGCACACACAAATAATATTATAGTCGACACAACATGCAAACCGCGGAACAACAACGAACATCTTCCATCAACAACAGACACCACAGGACATCACAAACAGAGACGCTCTTACAAAACAAACTTTATACAATTATTTTAACAATACCAGTCCATATAATTTTCATAACAATGGTGGTATTGAAAGGCTATTTTATAATTATTTAGACTATAAACGATAAGACATAATACATAATCCAAACGAAACCATAACATAAACGTCAAAAATAAACAAATGAGACAAATACCTATTGTACGGTCTTCAACAATGAACAAAACTGAGCTTATGATATTTGTGTGTTTAATAACGTTATTGTTATACTATAAAATATGCTTTTTTATGATCAACAACCACAGTCACCAACTGGCGTTGCAGTGTCAGAAGCAAGACCATACTATGGTGAAAGGCAACATTAGCGCATCGTGGTGGCCTGTTTGTTCCTAGGGTTAATCAACTTGTTCATCCGTGTGATCCAGGTCTTACTCTTTACAAAAAAGTAAAAAAAAAAACCCAAAAGTACCGACTTCCAAGGAAAATTGAAATCGGAGATTTCCATATAAATTGTCAAAATTAAAAGCTCGAGCACATAAAACGAATAAAACACCCTGTCATATTCCTGACTTGGTACAGGCATTTCCTTATTAGGAAAATGGCGGATTAAAGCTGGCTTTATAGCTAGCTAAATCTCTCACTTGTATGACAGTCGCATATAATTTCATTATATTGACAACAATGTGCGAAAAAACAAACAGACATGATAGGTAAAAAGTTCAAAAATAGGGATACAGCAGTTAACATTGTGTTTTAATCTTAATCAGTATAAAAACAAACAAAAGTAAAAAAAAAGAACGTATTTGAAGACCGTACTTTGACCTATAATGGTTTACTTTTATAAATTTGGAATTGGATGGAGAGTTGTCTCTCTCAAGAAAAATATGCACAACTACAAAGCACAAAAGCACAAATGAAAGACAAGATTACAAATAATGACCTGAAAAAACGACAACTTATTGGTGGGATGCACACGTACAGAGTCACGTCAAAGGGATATTAACAAAAACGTACTAAACAGTAAATGTTAATAATATACAAAGACAAATAAAAGAACACTTTATTAAGATGATAAACAACGTAAGCTAAATTGTATACTTCTAGACCATCATGTATTATTAGTGAAGTTGATACGGAATATTTATCAACAAGGTCTTAGTATCTTCGGAGGATTATTCTATGACATTAGAAATTTATCACTTTAATAAAACCTAAACATTAAAAAATAAAATATAAAACACTTGATAAATTTTATCATCTATCTTTCATCAGATTTATTTAAAACTAAGTAATTATATAAACAGTTAAAAATGAATAACAAAACATTCTTTAGATTCATAGACTTGTTTTGTTCATTGCTATTGTGTACCATGTTTGTCAATAAAAACTGATCCATTTTTCCGTTTAAATTTGAATCATATGTCCTTGTCAATACACTAGGTTGAAATATATATATCTGTTATCACGTCAAAACTGGTAATTTGATATTGTATAGCATTGGTAATAAACAATACTACCTTACATCGATTTCACGATCGTATTTGTATGCAATCTGCCATGTGTATACAATGTACGTTTTTGTTACTTATTTAAATGACAAACATTTCTACATATCAACAGGTGTTCAGTATTAAATAAAGTGTCTGAAATACATCATCAACCGTTGGCTCGAAAAGCAAAAAAAAAAACCCTAAAGCCTTCAATTGTATAACATGTATAAGTGTGTATTCCCTTTGCTGACACAAATTCTTCAGAATGGTTTACGGTTTTGTGATTGTATCCAACATCTTTTATATTGAAATAAGTTGAAGTTCGTCGGAATGGACAGTTGCCCCGGATTTGATATGGGTCTGTTCTCTTTTTCTGTCTCTTACTGCAAATATAAAAAGTTTTTGCCTCTTTCTTCCAATCATGTAAAACACCCATGTTCCTTCCTGATTGCGTGTACTTCCCTTTGCATACTTTCTCTTTCTTCCAAACTTGCTTTGGTCGATCTCAACTATAACTACCATAAGTGTTTAGGTATCTGCTAATATTTTCCAGCTGCAAGGACAATATAGAGTCATTTTACTTACTAAAGATACATGTATAATATAAAATGATTTATTTTTACAAAATAACTATTTTATTTTATTTGTGTTACTTACCTATAAATATTCCTGCATAAGTTGAACCGGTCTATCATGGTTTTACTTATAATTCCAGGTAACATTTTCATTTGTCTTCATGGATACTACCATCACGAAAAAGCACATAATTGTCAATATTGTCTTGAGGGGTAAAATGTAGGTGTGAACTTAAGTAGAAACTGTTCAGTCGATATGTAATTTTGTCTGCATTTGAAATATCTGAAGATACACTGGTCCACCTTTTCACTGTCTCTTACTTGGGAAAACCATATTTTATAGTCATCACAATATTTGTCCTTTTTCAGCAACCCATTACTTCTCATCCATGTCAAACAGTTAGCCGAACTGGATATATTTTCAAATTTAAAAAAAAAAAAATCCATTTTGAGCAACGGAATCCCGATAACTGTCAAATGACGTCATGAACAATTTGTTTATAAATATTCCCGGGATTTTTCACAGCGCATGCACAGTAGTGAAGAAAATGACGACGTAGATAAAAAAAGAACTAGAAGAAGTGGTGTATTTATTTAAGTTTTACTCAATATCTATACGACATGAATCAGATTAAAGGATATGAGGATGTAAAATGTAATACACTTACAACAGGTAAAGAAGTAAATGTCTAATATCATAACAAAAAAAAACTAGCTACTTTCATGGACCGTGACCCCGGAAGTAAATCCAAATATGTCGGGACCTCTAAAGTAAAAGAAGGCCTCCAAAATAGAAAGTCGTTTATCGAATGGCAAAATTAAAATATCATAATCATCAAACGAACCGAAAACAATTATCATATTCCTGACTTGGTACAGCCATTTACTAATGTAAACCTGGTTTTATAGCTGGGAGGAACTCTCCCTTGTGTACCAGTTTTTCCGTTTAAATTTGAATCCTTGTCAATACACTAGGTAGAAATACATATCTTTTATCACGTCAAAACTGGTATTTTGATAAGGTAGATTTTCCCCTTACATGGCATATCTAAAAAAGGAACACAAACAACCAATTACGTTTTCAGTATTAAATAAAGTGTTTGAAATATATCATCAACTTTTGGCTCGATTTTCTCGGAAAATTCTTAATATTTAAAACAATATATGAATTCAGATTCATTTCTTGTTGCTTTTGTATTGTATGATGTCAACCAAATACAGTTTAATCAGCTTCTTTCAGTAGTCATGACAATCCCTTGATATTGCATTATTAAGTGTTCTGTAACCCTTTTGATAAATGCCTTCTTAAGTTATTAGGAATATTATTTCTTTAAAAGCCGATTAACTTCTGTTGCATTGGTTATTCAATTGATCGATATAAAATTCAACTATCAGTAAGGTCTGTCATTTATCTTACAAACTTTTAATGATCGAATTTCTCACAACTATCCGTTTTGAGAGTTAGAAAATTAGGGAATATGCCCCAAGTTTTCGAGATTACTTGACTTGTATACTTGCAAGACTGAATTAACACTTTTGCAACATCATTTAGTTTCTTTCAAATCGTGGACCGGTAAAATAATATTCCATGCTGTTTCTTCAATAAGAGATTACCGTTTCAAAGTAAAAAATATCAAACTACATGTTACCTTATAACATAAAATGTTAAATAATTTGTTTCAAATATGAATAATCAATTATTTGAAGACGTTTCAAACTCGGATTAGTTTTTTTTTCTCACAAAATACTTGTAACATTAACATTCCCTCTTTTACTGCACCACCTTTTCATTTCTACAATTTACGTGTTTCAATGATGTGCGAATGCAAAACATTTGAAAATTCTAAAACTTTATAGAAACGTTGAAGAGCTGATATTACCGAATAGGGCCGAACTATTTTGCCACGACATTTGTATAACCAAAAGGCCCGGACAGATTGTTAATAAGAGGTATTCATGAAAGACATACATTCCTTAATTCTATAGGTTTTCTAAGGTTCTTTGAAGAGCAAATTTCTTGAAAACAATATTCGTATTCTTATGTCACTACCATGTTAATGTCACCGTTTCATAGATCAATCAAGGTCAAGAGAACATTTTGTGCAATTTTACTTAGAAAAACCCCTATACGTGTTCGGTAAGTATTTTTCTGTTTAACAATTTGGCAGATTGAAAAAAAACTACATTTGATCTTTTCCAACAACAGTCGGTATTTCAAAGAATTTTAATTTTAAACCTTTACTGACCGAAATGCTTTTGTATTTGTTATAAACAAAATTCTTACAAAGAAATTAGAGTGATGTCAAGCTCTTGTATTTCACTAAACTATAAGTCATGTCACTCAATAACACACATTCAAGTAAGTGATTGCATTGCATACATCACTGTAAACTTTAAATTCAAATTACATTTGAAACTGGTCTTTTTCGTTATCATGCCTACACACCCACGTCTTTACGGATAAATTCGATTCCCTCAGTTTTTGTTTGTTTCCTTGAGTTATCTCTCCAAACGTGACCTCTTACGGAATATGACTGAGTTTGATGTGTTTGAGCTTTTGATTTTGCCATTTGATCAGGGACTTTCCGTTTTGAATTTTCCTCGGAGTTCATTATTTTTGTGATTTTACTTTTTGATAGATTTAAACATCGGTAAAAAGTAAAATAGCCAAAAATACTCCAGGAAATATTGGCCTTTTTTACTTTAGAAGTCCCAACATTACTGGTAAAAATGAAGGGTCCAATAATATATAGTGTATTTAAAATGCATTGTACTGTTGTTTTATTTTTACTGCTGTATTGATGTTCATACAGTATTGGCTTGTATATAGGTTATGGGACCCCTTAACATAAAAAAATATTATTGCACACCTCTAATTTAAGGGTTCCATCAAAATTACCTATATATATTGTTGGATCCCTAAAATAAAAGAAGGCATTTAAGCACTCTTTTACTCTAGGGATCCAAAACTTAAAGGGAAAAAAGAAAAGTGTAGTTTACTCATTTTACTACATGTAAGCGCTTCATGATACAACACCTAGAACTTGACATTTTCATTAAGTATACTTTAAAAATTATGTGAACACATATTCTGACGTTACTGCACGTTTAATGGATTCTTTTGAAGTTATGGTTTACACTGGAATTAGCAGTAAAATCATAAAAGAATTACCTAACAATGTCAGTGTTCTTGTAATTTCATCTGTACATGCTCTCATCTAAGTGTGGTCCAAGTAAGTTATGGTTGACTCGCCGTATTTGCTTGAAGTGCTGTTTGCTGTTACCCCAAAAGCTTTCAATTGTATAAGTGTTCCTTCAGACACTTGTCAAAAACAAGAAGATAAAAGAATCCAGATCATTTAATTTCACATTCAGATATATTGATGATGTTCTTAATTTCAATTAACAATCCAAACTTTGCTGATTGGTTTCCATTACTATATCCTCTAGAACTAGAAACTAATGAAACAACAGACACGGCTTCCTCTGCCTCATTCTATAACTTTACTTATTTGACATAAGTGGTCATCTCAGTACCTGAATACATGACAAGCGAGACGATTTTAATTTTGAAATTATCAATTTCCCTCACCTTAGTAACAATATACTAACTTCACCAGCATATGGGATATACATTTCCCAACTCACTCGGTATTTAAGAGCTTCCAGCTTCTACGTATACTCAGACTTTGTAAAACGTCACTAGTGAGTGTAAGAGTAGGAAGTTGATGACCAAGGAGTATGTCAAAGAACGTCTCGTCCTTTTTCTAAAAAAGTTCATCGGAAGATATCAAGATCTTGTTGATAAATATTCCGTATCAACTTTACAAATAATACACGATGGTCTTGAGTATAGGTTCGGGTTGGTTGACCGTTATGGAATTACCGTTTCACAGATGATATCGGATATGTTCCTTATGTCGTAACTACAATACCCTTCCCTTTTCACGAATGTGACCTACCGAATTAGACTATTTACCGGATTTGTAATAACATAAGTAACACGACGGGTGTCACTTGTGGAGCAGGATCTGCTTACCCTTCCGGAGCACCTGAGATCACCCCCAGTTTTTGGTTGGGTTCGTGTTGCTATGTCTTTAGTTTTCTATGTTGTGTCATCTGTACTATTATTTGTCTGTTTGTCTTTTTATTTTTGGCCATGGCGTTGTCAGTTCGTTTTCAATCTATGAGTTTGACTGTCCCTCTGGTCTCTTTCGTTCCTCTTTTCTAGATACTGACTTTCGTTTTTGCAAATAAACTGACAACGCCATTGCTAAAAAAAGAAAAAGACAAACAGACAAACAATAAAATTGAGAATGGAAATGTAGAATATGTCAAAGAGACAACAACCCGACCAAAGAGCAGATAACAGCCGAAGGCCACCAATATTATGATTATTTCAGTAATGAAATGATCACTGTTACAGAAAATCTATGATAAACGGGACGATTTCAACTTCCCAATTATCAATTTCCCATTTCTCAGCAGTAACATACCCTCTGCCCCTTCGTATGGTGTTTACATATCTCAATTGATACGTTATTCTCGTGCTTGTTCACACTATACGGACTTCATATACAGGAGTGTGCTCCTTAGCAGAAACTGCTCCAACAAAGTTATGAGGAGGACAGATTAAAAATGACACTCCGTAAATTTTACGGACACCATCACCAATTGGTTGATCCATACGATGTGTCTTTGTCCAAACTAACTAAGGACATTTTTACCACGTGTTAGATTGCGGTTTGTCATTACTTCGTCTGATCTTTTAATTACCGAACGTGACTTATTCCCGATTGTGACTGTTTTGCTGAGTGTGAAACCGCATTGCTATAAGACGTGTCACGATACCTTTCTATCCCAAATTCATGTATTTAATTTTGATGTTATATTTGTTGTTCACGTCGGATTTTGTCAAATGTCATTTATTAGATTTTAGTTTGGTTCAACGAAATTTATACGATATATTTGGTTTACAATTTGATTCAGAAGAAACACCGACATAGCTAGATAATACAATTAATTATCTAATTACTACCATTTGATATTAATAAGTATTGTAATTTTCATTGTTATTAATAAATGTAATGTCAGTATTACAAATCTAATCTTTAATCAATCCTAATCCTATTTTATTTTTGGGAAATATTTTAACAAATTCAAATGTGATGTCACTTTGTATTTTTTTTTTAGAATTTCAAATGTGACGTCACTTTGTGCGTTCAGGCTTTGGCTAACTCGGCTGTGTATTTTTTTAAGTGTTGGATTAAGTTGTTTTATGTAATGTATCCGTTTTTATTCTGTAGTTAGTCCCCACTTTGGTTTTATCATGTATATCTATTATATAGTCATTTTATAAAATTTACTGTTTGCAAAATTATAAATCATTCTAAATAATAAGGATGTTCTTGTCCCAGGCAGAAAACCCTGGCCGTGTTAGGCGCAACTTTTTGGAAGTTTTGGTCCTCGGTGCTCTTCAGCTTTGTACTTGTTTTGGCTTTCAAACTTTTTTCATCTGAGCGTCACTGGTTGGTCTTGTGTGGACGAGACGCACGTCTGGCGTATTGAATTTTAAGCCTAGTACCTTTTGTTAGCTATTATTCGTGTGTTTCTTTGTCCTATATGTTCTCCCATTTATTTGTATTGTGGTCCTGTCATGTGATGTTGTCGTTT